TCTCTCCATAAAAATTATTGTGAAACAGCAACTTTTAAAGCTTTGCTGCATAATGAATTATAAACCATAAAATAGAAAATGTGCTTTAAAACACTCTGGTAGAAGGCCATGCACAGTTTACAAGAAGATTGCATGGATGTGTGCATTGAAATTACCAACAGTCAAATCAAGCTCACTTGGAAGCCTCCTTATTTATTTTTAATTTTTTTCGAACGTGATGCTTTCTAGCATAAAGGTTATTATGGAAGCAAGCCTAGCAACCTGCTGGATGGAGAAATTATATCTCCATCTATATTATTTGTAACTGTGCAAAGATTTTAAAACAAAAGGAAAGGAAACATGAACATGGAAAATTGAGATGAAGTCAAGTAGAATCTGATTTCTGTATCCAAAGTAGCCAGTATAGCATTTTTTTTTAAAAAAAAAAGCTAGTTAAACAATGGTTTTTAAAATGTGGATTTTTGAATAAACCAAAATTGACTAGATCTGCCCAAAACAGGATATCATAAAGCAAGGGTGTGCAAATTAAAATAATAAGGTTCATTTAACCAAGGCCAAACCAAAGCTTAATATTCTTTAAAGAGTTCAGTCCCTGTAAAGTTGCTGTGATGGGAATTGCATGCTGTGATGATAATTGCATTTATCTTGGTACTGCTGAAGAATGCAAATTTTATTCTAATGTATTCAAACTGCTTTTCTAACTAGAATTCCACTCCATCTTTGCCCACTGTAAACAATCCCATTCCATTTAAAGGTGCTGTTGTGTCACTCCACTGGAGGGAAATAATTCGTCAAGGATATTGTTAGCCATATCAAACACAATAATAAATATTCTCATTGTTGAATTTGCCCTTGGGAATGGAGAAGAGACTGAATTTCTCAGTATAGAAGAGATAGGAGTGTGAAAGAAATAACTGCAATTGTAAAGAAATTATGCAGCCTAAAAGGAAAAGCAAAACAACACACGTAGAATAGTAGAATAAAGTAGAATAATAAACAGACAGCAAGGTCAGAGGCTATTTAGGATCTGATGCATAAAAAGAAATCATTTCTGAAAAACAGAGCTGTTTTTCAAAACAAAATGTTCTTTGTTTTCTAATAATGTTTCAAAATTACTGACATTTTACAAAAAATAAAAAACCATGGCAGGAGGCAAAATAAACATATGAAGTAAATTGGATAGAAATGTGAGACAATATGGAAGATCACCAGTACTGTATTAGAAACCTTTAAAAGTAGAATGATATCACACGGAAACGGGTTTTCAGATAACAGATGATCTGCAAGGTTTTAGCCCTTTTCAAAGAGGCACTGCTAACTGCTCGATCAATTCTCCCAACTCAAGACAGTGGTGGGTTTCAAATTTTTTTTGAACCTACTCTGTGGGCGTGGCCTCCTTTGTGGGAGTGGCTTGCCGGCCATGTGACCTGGTGGGAGTGGCTTGCTGGCCATGTGTTTTCTCTCTCTCTCTCTTTCTCTTTCTCTCTCTCTCTTTCCTTCCTTTTGTCTCTCTGTCCCTTTTTCCTTTTTTTCTTTCATCTCTCTCTCACGTTTTCTTTTTTCTTTTTTTCTTTCTTCCTTTTTTTCTCTTTCTCTTTCTCTCTCTCTCTTTCCTTCCTTTTGTCTCTCTGTCCCTTTTTCCTTTTTTTCTTTCATCTCTCTCTCACGTTTTCTTCTTTCTTTTTTTCTTTTTTTCTTTCTTTCTCTTTCTCTTTCTCTCTCTGTGTGAGTCTGTGTGTGTGTGTGTGTGTGTGTGTGAGTGGTGGGTTTCAAAAAATTTTGGAACCTCTTCTGTAGGTGTGGCCTGCTTTCCGGGTCCACTGGTGGAACCTCTTCTAACTGGTTCAGTAGATTTGACGAACCGGTTCTACCGAATAGGTGCGAACTGGTATGAACCCACCTCTGGTTTAATAGGACTACACCAACAACATATTCGATTCTCAGATCAGATAGTTCAGCTGAGGTTATAGTCATTGCTTGAAATGAGAAAATGACAGTGGCTTTGGATCAGTTTGTACCTGTGGGGACTCTCTGTGTGCATAGATCCCAGAGCACTCCTGACTGGAAATATCTTGAAGCCTCTTCCAATCCGTTTTTTGTTTTGCTTAGTTTTTCTTTAACCATCTAGTATTCATTGTTTATTCTGCCCATGTGTTGCACTTCCCATAAACCTCTTTCAAACCCAGTTATCTTTGAAGATTTGTGCGGCTCTATTGCATTGTTTTTAGTTTTTAGGATTTTTTTAAAATAGTTTTTAGTGTGTACAAATTAATGCTTCCTATCTTTTGCATAACACAAAATTTAGGATACACGGCAAGGGGGAAAAGTATATTTCTTTTACATTTCAATTTAATCTTATATATATTTCAATTTCTGCTTGAGCACTATAATAACTACAAAATATACAAATGAGATCTGGTTGTGAGAAGGCATGAAAGGAAAACAAAAACAGATGTTTCAGAATGTTTTATTCAAATAAACAAAAATGTTAAATTTGAAAATCTTACTGAACATTTTGGTTTTTTGAATTCAATACAAATATTTTTATAATAAAAAATAAGTTCTATTCTTTTATAGCATTTAATGGTGTAAATCTTTCATAATATTTTATTACAAAACAAATGATGGTCTTATCTAAAATTGTCATTAGTTTTTTTAAATCATATTGTCGAACCCCAATATTTGATCTGTATATTTCTGTATACATGTTACAAAACATATCGAGGAGCAATTTGGGTTAAAGCAAGTCTTTCTTGAAATGCAGCTATAAAATATTAATTGAAAATTGTTTCCCGTGACAGGTGATACTGAATTCTTCTTTGTATGTTCAATGCAAAGTTTGCAAATAGTAACAAAATAAAAATGAAAGAATTCTCAGCTATCAAATTCTATTCTAAAATGCTAATTTGAGAAATAAATTAGGAATCTGCTTTTCCATTCTAATTAATGTACTTCATTTCAGTTCCATTTCAATTTCATAAAATAAAACTCCCCTTCTGTATTACCCTTCCTCACTCTGGGCAAGAATATTGGCGAACTCAAGTACTGAAGTTTAGGAGAAGAAAGGAGAAGAGAAAAATCAGAGCATTTCCAAAAGAGTTTATGCATCAGTAAAGGATAAGGAGGCATTTGGTACTGCCTCTTCATATAATGTAGATTATGGGACAAAAACAAAATGCTAAGGTAGATTTCTAATATTCTGGATTTGTTGGGGAAAACTGAAAATGAAAAACAGGAAGAGGAATTATAGAGCTGTGTTGCCTAGCAGCAGTTATATTTCTTCAACTGAAAATAAATTGTAAAACAAATTAAGAAGCCTGCTTCTAGAGGTGCTTTGAAATATACATCGCACTCATCGCAAACTTCCAGTAATTGTAATTCTAATTATTTGTGGTGCATTCAAATGGATTTCAGTGAATGTTTTTCTTACTCTACAAATGTAAAATATACACGAATCATATGTAAATTGCTAATTTAGTCTGTGGGCATAGCAAGACACATTCTTATACATGTAAATTAAAATCATTTTGTGTCATCTGAGAACAACACAGATAAATAACACCTTGTACTCTGACAGCTTAGATTAACTCATTTGTTAATTATATTTCATTTTATTCAATTATTTTCAGGACACCTTATTTTTAATCTTGGAATTTAATTTGCAGATAACTAATAGGTATAACTTTTTTAATTTTATGCCTGAAGGAATTGGTTTAGTCATCCCCTCCAAGTGAGCTGTAGTTTTCAATTATTTTTCTGATCAAACTTCCAT